TTAGTCTTGATGATGATTTGGTGGCCTTGGAAATACGGTCGCAATCTTCTAGCCACGACCAGCAGGGCAAAAGCCACCTTTTCTAGCTTTTGATATCTGATCTCTGCACCTTGTAAGGCTCTACTGACAAAGTAAATTGGCTCCTGGCCTTCGTTTGTGTCCTTAATCAGTACAGCGCTTATTGCTTCCTCCCCTACTGCCAAATATAGAATTAAAACATCTCCTGTGTTTGGCTTTGAGAGGATCAGTGGAGTTGATAAACATTTCTTTATCTTTTCAAACGCGGCTTCGCATGCCGGGTTCCATCCGTCAGTTGCTTCTTTCTTTAAAAGTTTAAAGAATGGGAGGGCATTTTCAACCCATTTTGGAAGAAACCGGGTTAACGCAGCTAATCGTCCGGTCAGCTGTTGGACCTCCTTTTTACTTTGGGGTGCTATCATGTCAAGCACCGCCTTGCATTTATCCGGGTTTGCCTCAATCCCTCTGTGGGTTAGCATGAAACCCAGAAATTTTCCTGCAGCCACCCCGAATGCGCACTTTACCGGGTTGAGGCGGATGCGATACTTTCTGAGCTTTTGAAACGTTTGCTCAAGACCCTGAACATGATTCATCATATCAAATGACTTCACAATCATATCATCTATATACACTTCTAGATTTTTGCCCAGCTGATCTTCAAAGACTTTATTCATCATCCTCTGGTAAGTTTCCCCTGAGTTTTTAAGCCCAAATGGCATCACGTTGTAGCAATAGTTGGCATTTTCAGCAATAAATGCCATTTTTTCCTGATCCGCTGGGTACATTGAGATATGGTTGTATCCTGAATAGGCATCCATGAAAGACAACAGATGAAATCCAGCCGAGTTATCTACCAGCTGATCTATGTTAGGCATAGGATAAGCTTCCTTTGGGCAAACTTTGTTTAAATCTGTGTAATCAGTACAGATTATCCATTTCCCATTCGTCTTTTTCACCATCACCACATTGGCTAGCCACGTCGTGTACTGTATCTCTCGAATGAATCCAGCATCTAAAAGTTCTTTAACATGTTCCTGTAGAATTTGTTTCCTTTCAGGTCCCAGTTTTCTTTTCTTCTGAGAAACTGGCTTGGACCCCGGATAAGCTGCCAATTTGTGACAACAGAATGCGGGGTCGATGCCAGGGATCTCAGACGACTTCCACGCAAATACATCAGTGTTGCTTTTAAGAAAGGCAACCAAAAATTGCTTGATCTGAGGGTCTATGGCCTTACCAATGCGGGTAAACTGGCCAGGCTCTCCCCCCAGCGTGAGATCCTCAATCTCTCCATCAGGTTCGGGTCTCGGCATTACTTCTTCTCTCATGTCGAGTTCAACCATATTGACTGGCTTCTTAGATTGCTGAGGAATTAGATTCTTACCGGTTTTATCCCCCGAGTGAATTCGGGGTGGGCTCAAACGTCCCCCTTCATTTTCTTTTATAGTATCAAAGTAACAGCCCCTGGATTCCTTCTGATCTCCACAAACAGTGATTATTTCATTCTTATTGCTCACCATTTTTAACTTCTGGTGTTTTGTAGAAACCAGCATGTCCCACTGATGTATGGTCGGTCTTCCCAGGATTATATTGTATTCTGAAGGGAAGTCAGCCACTATGAACCTAACTCGTTCTGATCTGAACGCTTCTTTTGTTCCCAGGGTTAACCTGAGATCAATGTAACCTTTAGGAGGCGTATGTTCTCCGTTGAAGGCTACCAACGTCGTTTTGCAAGGTTTGAGGTCCTCTTCGTCCAGGTTCATCTTTTTAAAAGCATCCCAGAGTATGATGTCAGCACAACTTCCTGCATCCACGAAAATCTTCCTAACCCGGCAATTCACTAGGGTCCCCGCAATCACCAGTCCTTCAACATGACCCGGCAGCACCCCGCGCATGTCCTCTTTAGTAAAGTATAAAAGAGGTGGATCTGGCTTGGTTGGGTCTTCTTTGAACTTGGGACGATCTCGGATAGAGAGTACCTCTTTCAGGTACTTTCTTCTAACACTTACAGTATCTCCTCCACCTCCCAAAGCTCAACTAATTACATTACAATCAAACTCCACTTCTGGGAATTCATCATAGTTGGAATCATTCTTCTGATTCTTATCCTGTTTGTTCTTCTTTTCAGTAATGGAACTTTTGCTTCGATTCCTGTTTCCCAACTTCCTTTTGTTCTTTTTGGAACCTTGAGTTTTTATTACATATTGACGTAATCTACCATCTCTTACAAACTTCTCCACCGCATCTCAGAGATCCCAGCACTGATCAGTTGTGTGGCCTGACCCATCATGAAAGGTGCAGTATTTGGACTTATCTAATCCTCCTCTGTCAAATATGGGACGAGGTCTCTCCACCTTTTTCATCTCCGTCGTGGCTACTTCTCTCCAGATTTGAGAACGCGACGCATTCAAAGGTGTATACTTATCATACCTTCCAATGCGGTCTCTCATATCCGGGATTCGTTGGCGTTGATCTTTCTTTTTGCTGTCAACTCGTTCCTTTCCCTTTAGGGGTGGGCTCCTCCTTCTCGGGCCTACTCTGTTGCCTTCATCAGATTACGCATTTGCAATCTCCATTTGCTCTAGTTCAAGATATTTCTTTGAACGAGTTCTAAACTCCTCCAATGTCTTTACTGGGTCCTTATAGACCGACTTGGCGAGTCTGGATCCACCATCCAGACCTGCGACAATGAGGTGGACGTGGACATTCTTTTGCAACCCTGGGACCTGCAATGCAGCGTCCTTGAACCGGTTAAGGTATTTTTTGAGGGTTTCTCCAGGTTACTGTCGTATCTTTCCAAGAACGAACTCAGACTTTGGATGCTTCTTGCTGGTTGCAAATTTCAATATGAACTTCTGTCTGAACTCCTCAAAGGATCCGATGCAATTAACAGGCAGGGTTGAGAACCACTCCTGCGCTGCCCCAGTTAATGTTACAGCAAATATTCGGGATATAAGAGGCTCGTCAATTCCCCGAATATACATGTCCGTGTCAAAGGCATCTATGTGCACCTGCGGATCCTGGCTCCCATCATATTTCGATAAACGTGCCGAGTCAAAGTCCTCTGGGAAGACAACGTTTAATATTTCAGTGGTGAATGGGCTATTATTATACTGCCCCCTGCTGTACTTCCTCCTGTATCCGCCAGGTTCTACTCGTCCTCGGATGTTTTGAGGATCCTGTTGATACTGAGCTCTAACCCGGTCCTCCTGACCGTCAGCATGTGCTTGATGGTTTTGTGCATCTTGGCCATCAGCGACCTGGTATCCCTGGTTTATCAGGTTACCAGGGTTTCCTGCATGAGGAACTTGGTATGATTGAACCGAGTTACTAGGTCCTTCTCGACCATAGGCAGGCTGACCTTCGACATTGGTTATTCCTGGCGTAGTCCGCCGTGTTAATCGCCGCTCCAGGTCTTGCATCCCTCTGTTATTTTCCTCACGAATAGCCCTGAAATCTTGTTGCCGTTGCAAGTTAGTACGGGTTTCCAGCGTTGCTATTCGTTCCATAATTGCGTTTAACGCGTTGTTGGCCATCCGAGTATCCGGATCAGCCGATTGAGCAATGCGCGCAGCCAGATCGCCAGGATGCTGGGCAGGGTTGCTCCTTGTTGGAGCTACGTTCGCTGCAGCTCCCCCATTTCGACGCATCGGCATCGAGGCGGTGTCTGAAACATCATCTTCGACCTGGACGTGGTTGTAATCCACGTTGTTTCCGATCTGATTGTGAGGCTGATTTATCTCCTCAATGACTGGATCCAACGGCTGATTCTGGTTTGGGGGTGGCTGCTGGCTACTGCTCCTCGTCTGGATTGCCATCCCTTGTCAGATTTGGTGGGAACTTCAAATTCAGATTCAAAGAAAAAAATTCCCACAAACGGCGCCAATGATCTGTCCTTGAGACAAAGATGTCTAGCCCAGCTAGGCTAGTACGTTAATATTGGATCTGATGCCCTCTCCAAGGTATCTATGAGAGAGATACCCTTGAGTCAAGGAGATCACTGTGCACAGAATACTATAACGGCGTTAGCCAATGGGGTGTGTGTGTGCATAGTGACAAAATAACAATAAGAGAGAGAATGTGTGTACCTTTAGGGTTTGCCCTTGTATTTATAGAGGTTACCTGTAGGTAGTGTGGATGGGCCCTTGTTTGCTACGATGAGGATCCAGCCCTGATAGCTATGCTGTCACATTAAGATAAGTATGGATTGATTAGCATCAATCCATATCTTGGATTCCCCTTTGTTGGGCTTGATACTTAATGGGCTCATTATACGAGTCCATAACAATTCTAAATCCAAATATGTTCAACAATCATTTATTTTATATCTTATCGAACGAATCAACACCTTATCTAATTGAATGTAATAATTCTTTATGTTTTTAACTTAGTTCTTCCTTTTTATAGAATGGCTTGCTTAATATCATACTTAATTTTTATCAGTAAAAGAAAAAATAACATATTTAAAAAAATTTGATTTTTTAAGCTAATAATTAATGATTATTGTCTTCCATTTTTGCAAACGAATTTTCCCTTATAAGGAAATAGTTTAATAGAATCATATTTTATATTGCAATTATAAGTGAGGTTATTGACAGGTTGACCCTATTATCAATTGTCTCAATACTTTCTACTTTTAATTATTCTCAAGCAAATTTTTTTTAAAATAAATCAAACCTATTAATTGTATTATTATTTTCCTATTTGAAAGTATTTAAAAAAAATTAAGTAAATAATTACTGAAAAGTGTGAATAGGTTGGGTCACATATGACGCAATAAACCATAAATGAAAAATATATAAATTATATAATTTTTAAATCACATACTTGTTTGGACCAATCCAGATAAAAACAAATTATTGAACAAATGTAGTAATAGCCCAAATGTTTGGGCCTAGATGTTGAGTTTTACGCCTCTCTGTCGGTTGTGCGTGCGAATAAAGTAATTAATTTTGTTTTTAATTTTTCAGAAAAGAGAGAAAAAAGAAAAGAAAAGGAAATCAAATAGATAGAAGAAAAGATAAAGGAAAAACCTTTAATCTCAATCTCAAGTGTGTCCCAAAACAAAACCCTGAATCGAATACAGCAGATACAATACAAGGAGTGATTGCACACTGTACAGGACTACAGGTATTGTGTTGAATTCTGATTTCTAAATATACCGCTTATATTCGAGGGGTTGTTCGTTTAATCATTATTACTGTTATCTGGGGTTGTGCCATCTGTTGTTTACGGCAAACCCCGCGTGATTAGTCTACTGTTCTTCCATAAGGGTTTTAATGCTTCCTAATATACACTTCTTTCTAAATTGTATTCAGCTCTAATATTAATTAAATCATCATATAATAGCCCAACTCAAATTATTTTTACTTTAGTATTATCAGGTGATGGTACTATATTCTCTGTTGATGTTTGGGAAATAGACTCTTTGCATTGAATTTGGCAAGTTAATGGCACAAGTGTTGTTTATCACTTTATCTGTGGAAAAAAGTTTGGAAATTATTGCACTTCATTTGGTTAACATGCCTATGCAAACAAAATTTGAATAAAGCCATGATCATGAATCATATCTGTTTAGTAATTTAGTTTTTAAAATCCTCTAGGAGTCCTATAAATGAAATCTCTACACAATTAAAGTCTACACAATTAAAGTTTGGAAATTATTGCACTTCATTTGGTTAACATGCCTATGCAAACAAAATTTGAATAAAGCCATGATCATGAATCATATCTGTTTAGTAATTTAGTTTTTAAAATCCTCTAGGAGTCCTATAAATGAAATCTCTACACAATTAAAGTCTACTCCCCCCCCCCCCCTTTTTGGGTACAAGTCAGCTATGAAGCACCGATACTACTTAAATTTTTTTTCCAACATATTGGATACACGTATCGGAAACGTATTGTATCGTATCGACATCCCGTATCGAGAATGTACTGGAAACGTATCGAAAACGCTGTGTCGGAATCGGTGCTACATAGCAAGTCAGGGCTAAGTTTTTGTTATTGATATACTTATTAGCTTCTAGTTTCATCTGCCCATTTTAGAACTGGAATCTCTTTCCCTTTTATTTGTATTTGGCAAATTGGATGAACTTAGGACTTATGCCTGGAGCGTTTTTGTTTATCTTACAATCATAGTTGTAATCATAAGTGTTGCCAATTTATTTTTATAACTATAAAGCTTATATTATTATTACAGGGAAGCAGGGCACATTTATGGCTGGCCCTGGTGATAGAAAGGAATCCGAATGGATAGATAGGATAATATCTGAAGGAGCCGTTCCACTTCTTGAGCCAGATAATTGTTCAAATGGTTGGGCTTCCCCTCCTGGAGATGCATTTATGGTTAGAGGTCCTGAGTATTTTACCACAAGGGTTAAGATTCCTGCTGGTGATTATCTGCTCAAGCCTCTTGGTTTTGATTGGATTAAAAGTTCAGTGAAAATCGGGGATATATTAAACGATCCAAATAGTCGAGTTAGGAAGGTCATTGATAATGAGTTTCAAGCAGGTGATAAACCCTTTGTATGGGCATTCAATCTTCAAGTCCCAACCAAGGATAACTATAGTGCGATCGCATATTTTACAAACAAAGAGCCTGTTGCTGAGGGGTCCCTGATCGAGAAGTTCTTGAAAGGTGACAATGCGTTCAGAAACTCAAGGCTCAAGTTGATTGCCAACATTGTCAAAGGTCCTTGGATTGTTAGAAAGGCTGTTGGAGAGCAGGCTATATGCGTAATTGGGCGCGCCCTTTCCTGTAAATATTTCACGGCAGAGAATTTCATAGAAGTAGATATTGATATAGGGTCTTCCATGGTTGCAAGCGCAATTGTCCATTTGGCATTTGGTTATATCTCATCTTTGACTGTTGATCTGGCTTTTCTTATTGAGAGCCAAGCTGAATCAGAGCTTCCAGAAAAAATTCTAGGTGCTTTCAGATTTTCTGACCTCGATCCTGCTTCAGCTAGAACAATTGAACCATCATCTGTTATGAGTTCTGATAGTTTACAAACATCTTTACCTACTAGATGGTGGAAGTCAATTGGGCAGGGCTTTTCCCACATTCTTCATTCAGGTCCTCAAGAAGATGGCTCTACTTCTGGCTCACAACATGCAAAAATTGTAGTAGATCACAAAGACAGTGCGACTGATGTCAAGCAATGGTGAGTTTATATAGTTGTGATAATCATTTTGATAAACATGATTACAGAAGCTTTGATAATGTAAGTTCAGCATCAAAATATGCTCCGTGTTTAAAACTTATGTTTTTCAACTTTGCAGACCTTTTTTTCTTCATTTATTTTGTTTCCCTTAACCAAGGGAGAGGGATTGGGAAGTGTGCATTGTGATCAGTATCTGTAGTGCCCAGGTTTACTTATTTGTGTACATGTTAAACTTTTAATAAACCTTCTTTGCAGCCGTTGATAATGCAACTGGTTTTTAAACATACATCAGCGTTTTTTGGTTTCTCCTTTATTATGATGGCTGATTTAGCATTCTGATTTAGTTTCTAACTGATCTTGAAAGTCGTGTTTGTCAAACTACAAGTACTATTACAGCATTCTCTCATTCTTTTACATTCGTTTTTATTCCATCTCTGACTTAAACTCTAAAGCTACATCTCGCAGAAGACTGTTGGGGTTCCATTTGCAAGGTATGGGACTTGGAGTCCAACATTGGTTGTATGGGCAACTAATGTGGGATTTATAAGGCCTTGGGCACTCCTACCCTTTGAGCTAGTTTTTGGGGTGGTGCATCCCAAGGTCTCATCAAATGGTATCAGAGCATCCATCACGTGGAGTTGTGCGTGGGGGCACGCACTAGGGAAGCGTGGTGGAATGTTGGGGTTCCATTTGCAAGGTATGGGACTTGGAGTCCCACATTGGTTGTATGGGCAACTAATGTGGAATTTATAAGACCTTGGGCACTACCACCCTTTGAGCTAGTTTTTGAGGTGGTGTATCTGGCCATAGTAAGTTGTAGTCGACTGATACATAAAGAAGGTTATAAATATTAGGCTTTAATTGTTTATTGAAATTTGCTGTCCTCTGACTGTATTTCCTACATGTTTTAATCATTTTGTATTCTGTGTACCATGATATTGTCCGCAGATATACTGGAGGAATTGAAGGGATATGAAGTTCCATTTGGATGTGGTGATTCTTTTAGCCATTTTTTGATGATTGGGTTCGGAGCATCTGTCTTGTGACTTAATTCTTGCCTATGGTAGTATTTTGTATGACTACAAAAAGTTAGGAACTTAGAGTGGCCTCATTTTTTTGTATTTTTGGCTGGATTATTGTGTATATCTTTTTAAGTAAATTCTACGTATTTATTGTTGGAATCCTGACTTTTGCTCTTGTCTGGTGAATTTTTTGTGGTTATCTGAATTAGAATTGCTTAAATAAAGTTTCATATGTAACTTTGTGTTTTCGTGATTATTTCATACTTCTTGGTAATTAATGACTTATATATTTATATTTTTAATAAAAAAAGTGACTAATAATATTAGTCATTAATTATTAAAAATATCAGTCCCCTGTAATGAAGGACTTCACCAAAAAAAAAAAAAAAAAGTAATGAAGGAATTTTAAAAAATTATATTACTCGTATGTTGCTGTTTAGAATTAGAATCAAGGGTATAGGCTCGGAAAAGTGTGGTGGTAATCTTATTTATTCAAATTTGGTATAAGATTTTTGAATTGTTTTTTCTGAAATTTGATGTTTTCGAGATTTTGTTGTGTACACTTTTTTTTTTCAAAATGCCATTCAAATCCCAGGTGTTAGGGAAAATTTTATACTTTTTTGGGGATAAAATTCTGGTAATATTTTGATATACCAAATAATTTCTTCGTAATGTTTCCGTGGAAGTGACTTTTTCATAATCTTTGAGAATCATGATTTTCGAGTACTAAAAAATTTATCCTTTATTTATCAAATATCCCTTAAAGATCTATTTGGATAACAAAATTAGAATTATAAATTCAATTTTAATTATTGGAAGATGTCAATGAGGCTTTTTGACCCTTATAATCCTTTATTAATAATTAATTACCAATTTGACTTTGATTATAAACTATTTCAAAAATTTAACCTCCTCAAAAAACATAACACCAATCTGCCCCTGTTTGACCGTTGACCACCAAGCCTACCCGGGTACACCCCTCTCTACCCGGGTATTTTTTGAAAAATTTTGCCTACCCGGGTAGTGTTCTTCGAATCTGGGAATTTGCTTGCATTATTTACCCGGGTATAGAGGGGTGTACCCGGGTAAATGTCGACGGTAGGGTTTTTTAACAAGCCAGCAGCCCCATTTGGAAAACCAACAAAGTGGTACCCGAGTAGAGCTGCTGGAAGTTCCTTGTGTTGCGCGATTGAGGACGAAATCTTGCTCAAGTTCTTCGGGGTTGTGATCATTAGTTCGTGCATTGTGAGTCTCTTCCTTCTACCGATTGAAATCCATCCAAGGTTAATTTTTTTTTCTTTTTGGATGTTTCCTGTTCTGATTTCATCCAATATGTTTGTCCCTTATTGCGTTTTTGTAGTTTGCATGGTTATGTAATTTGATTTTGACCGATTAATTTTTGAAAAAAATGGCCCTAACCCTTACCCTAACCCTAACATGTATGTATCTGATTTCTGATTTTGGTTATTTTTTCAGTTTAATAGTGTGACACAATGACCTCTAGACGCGTTTCAAAGCTGCCAGTGACCCATTCAGAGAGAAGAACCAAGAGTCGTCACGATGGAGGGTCATCCTCTCAGCCCCAGGCTGCTTCGAGTCAGGCTCCGGACTTGACGTTCAGATATCTGTTTGAGGATGACATACTTGCACACGAGAGGTTCGTGAAGTATTTCATGAGCCGGAAGCTCTGCGAGCCGAAATCACTGGATTCAGCCTTCTTCAACTTGGAGCGGTTCGACATTGTGCCGTTTCTTGAGGAGACACATTTAGTTGACCTGGCGGAGATGCGGTGCCCATACTCGGAGGTTATGGTAAGAGCCTTCTACCAGAACCTTGGGTACTCGCAAGGCGAGCTGACTTCCCGTGTCTGCGGGATTGATATCAACATGACTGCTCCTATCTGGACGGAGCTACTGGGGTTTGATTTTGATGGTGTCACAGGAGCAGCACTATATGATGGAGACAACCATCACATATTTGGTGATTATGACCGGGAGGCCATTGTTACAGAGACTAGGAGGGTAGGAGGGCAGACGCTGAGCCCGGACATTTTGCTCATTATCCTGTGAGCAACTTGTCGGTGTCTGCTCGCATTCTTCATTACGTGGTGACACATATTATTTTCCAGCGCTCGCATAATCCCTCGAAGGTGCTGGAAAGGGACTTTGTCATCTTGTGGGCCCTCCTTCACCGTCAGCAGGTGAACTGGAGGCATTATTTATGCATAATGATGTGGAAGGCTGCCAAGTCAAAGAAAGCTGAATTGCCTTTTGCATTCCTGGTGCAGAAGATTCTGCATAGATTTGGTGTGCCTATGGCAACAGAGACCTTGAAGACCGCCACAGGCTGGAATGCTATATTTGGTGAGAGGCTATTGAAGCAGTGTGGGATCCTGCCGAACAGAGTGGGTATCTGGATGTGGAAGAAGGCACTAGAACCACCTGAGATCCCAGTCCACCACGATGCTGAGATGGAGGATGCACCTGCAGGTGATGTGTTTGGGTTTATGCATTTTTTTGTTGGTTTTTTTAATACTAATGTGATACTTATAATATGTGCTTTTCATGGTTTATGATGCAGGCCTTGATGATGACGATGACGATGCCGGCGCTGCTGAGGTTGATGATGGACAAACACGTCCTACCCGCAGTCGGCGACCACCAGCTCCTCCATCTCTTGAGGGTGGATGGACAACTCCTGAGGGTGGATGGACATCTGATCATATCATGGCATCCTTGTATGCTCTGACATGTGGCATGGACTCATTGAGTACTGACTTTAGAGGATTTAGACAGAGCACAAGCAAGTGGCGGAACCAGATGGACACAAGGGTTACACGGTTGGACACAAGGGTTACACGCTTGGAAGGTTTAGTTGGCAATGGTGCCCATACTCAGGAGGAGGTTGATGCTGCTGTTGCGGACGGTGATGATGTGGATGAGGATGATGAGAATGGGGAGGACTATTTTGGGTTTAGTAGGATGACCATTTTGGATGTAATGTAGTCATTTTGGTACAATTAGGAACTTTACCTACATTGCATGGATCTTTTTATACTTGGATGTTCAATATTTGAATGAATGAAATTTTCGTGTTGCGCACGTTCAGACTTGTTGGTTCTATGCATTAATATGGGTCTTTGCATTAATATTGTCATATGTAATTTGGAAAACAATGGACCCCAAAGTACTTTAATATGGATGTTCGACATTGATTGGTGCACATCATGCTTCCGTCATCCTATTTCTACGAAATCAATCCACCTTCAAGTCATATTGTATGTAGGTATTACACAACAATTCAAAAAATGCAAAAAAATTGGCCAAAACAGCAGCTGCAACTACATAACCAACTGGTCTACCCGGGTACCACGAACTGGTCTACCCGGGTAGGTTGTACCCGGGTATATCATTACAAGTTACCCGGGTAGACCAGTTGGTTATGCAGTAGCAGCTGCTGTTTGGGGTATTTTTTTGGCATTTTTTGAATTGTTGTGTAATACCATAACCTTAACTGACTCGGGGAAGGGATAAATGGGTATGGTACACATTCAGATTGCACATTATGCAACACAACAATACATTTCAACAATACATTTCAACAACACAATACATAACTAATACAAGATAGAGTTTAGGGTACACAGAAACAAAACAATACAAGATAGGGTACTCGTTAAACAAAACAAAACAATACATAATCATGCTTGTCTTAGTCTCAATGGACATGTACGAATGTTATGTCCAACTTGCTTGCAATGCTTACATCTGCTCTGACTGCTCGTCGGTTGAGACTCAACCCAATCCATCTCATTCTGAATCCTTGAAGACTTTGGCCTTCCTTTTGCACGTACCAACCGTGAATCCGAAATTACAGTAGGCCCAAAATCGGATGGAATCAACAATTCATTGCCAATAGGAAACCAGTGTGCAGCATATACTTTAGAAATTGTTGGGATTTTAAAAATATCATCCACATAATCATAATGGTTTAACTTGACGACCTTGCAAGCTGCTAAAACATGGCTGCAGGGATACCTCATTGCTGTATACCTACCACACTGACATTTACGATTGACTAAGTCCACTCTCATGGTGTCACCAACCTCGTGTGTAGAATGATTGTAGGCATCTTTAACCTCAAACAGTAACAGCTCACTATCATATATCCTCACACGATAAGTGTCGGCCAATTCATCATTTTTCTGCAAAGCTGCCTCAACCTTCTTTGAAATTATCCTTCCTTGTGAGATATCCTTTTCAATGGCTTCACGTCTCTTGACGAAATACTCGACGAGTCTACTGAATGTCATCTTGACCAATGCAGTTATCGACAGATTACGTGCTCCACGAAGCACATTGTTCACACACTCAGATAGGTTGGTTGTCATATAACCAAACCTACGTCCTGCCTCATCATACGACCTGCACCATTGCTCTTTCGGAATCGCATCCAACCATGAAGCCACTTCAGGATTGTTGTCGATAAATTCCTTGTATCGAATGTCGAAATTTATCTTTGAACATGTGTACCCTGCAAAACAATCATCACATATGCAATTGGTTAGTTACACTTTGAAGTTGTATTTATAATGCATCACAACTGCTAATACATTACCTAATTTCATCAACGTTTTCTTCAATTCCACATTCCTAAAGCGGGTATTGAAGTTGCTTCCGATGTGACGTAGACAAAATACATGATAAGCATATGGAGGCTGCCACTCAGCGTGATCTTTGACCGCCCTTATGATGCTTCGATGACGATCGGATATTAGGCAAATACCGTGCATATGTGTGACATGAAAAACGTAAGAGGCTCATAAACCAAGACCAATCTTCCAATCTCTCACCTGGAGGAACAACAGCAAATGCAATAGGGAGTAGATATCCATCTCCATCCTGAGATGTTGCAATCAAGAGAGTTCCTCTGTACTTCCCATACAGATGAGTGCCGTCAATTTGAATTATAGGCTTGCAGTATTTGAATGTTTCAATGCATTGGTGAAAGGTCCAAAAAACCCTGTGAAATATGGCTCTGTCTGTATAAACCCGACGTTCGTCAAAACATTGATTTGTATCAAGTTTGAACACATAACCCACATTCACCTGTGTCATATACGTCAACCAATTGGGCAAGAATCCGTACGATTTCTCCCAGTCACCAAACAACTTAACGATGACCTTCATTTTTGCCTTCCAGGCCTTCCTGTACGTTATGTTGTATCCATATGTTCCCTGTATCCTCTCCTGTATCAGAGCTGGTTTTGTGGATGGATCTTCCTTTAACATATCTGGAAAAAAAAAAAAAACTTTACCATATTCTCAATTAATCTGAATCATTAAATACACAGTAGAATGCATACTCATTATAGCCGCACAAATGACATTTGAATCCATCTATCTATGATCCTGTGATAGGCCCTGATTTAGGCATGTGTGACCTTGACCCCATTTACGGACCACCCAATTAGCTCCCTTCTTCGGCTTAATTGCCCTCATATACCAGGGACAACCGTCAGCATGGTTTTTACACTTCATAACAAATCTTGACTCGTCGCTTTTTTCAACTATGGTTGTCCTGCGCCCCTTCATACAATGTATCTTCACAGCATGTTGCATTTCAGCTTTGGAGCCAAATTCTTGTTGCACAAATAATGGATCTCCTAACTTCCAACCTCCATGCAAGTCATCGTCCCCATATAGGACCTCCAACTCGTCATTAAGGTGCGCCCAATTGATGAATGAATAATGTTGGCTTTCATTCCAAAAAGGCTCCACCGCAGTCCCTGCATCTAAAGATCAACTCTCATTTGTCTGAATGATTATCACCACGAATAATAAATTGTCTAAATTTAATAACTTACCACTACTGACTGGATCAACATGAAGTGGTGACAAGGATGGGGTGCCCAGACTTACCGCGCTCGTGTCAGCGTCAAAATTTCCGTCGACGTCAGTGTCTGACGAATCACCTTGTGGAATAGCACATTCAGGTTCTCCCTCATCTTCGTTGTCCACATAGTCCTCATCTTCATCCTCTTCATCCTCATCCAATGCTACCTGAGGAGGTGCGGAAGATCATACAACTGTATCTTCTTGACCAGTACAGTATGCAGTAGTGGTTGCATGCACCGGTAAAGATGAAGACTGACCAGCATCAACTTCAACATATATCTCAATATATTTTAATACTTTCCATCCAACAAACGCATATGTTACGAACTCCACATCTTCATCATCATTAATATCGTTACCAATGTAGTATATTGTATCAATATCCACTACAGTCTCTAACCTGGCTATCATGCGGTGGATGGATTGTATGCCTTCTAACCCCATTTTTTGGAGAATACTCTCCTTCAATTCATTGCATGTACTGTCCAGTTTGATTTTCATCGTTTTTGTTTTTCCTTCAAATCGGACACCGTTCGGACCTTCAAAATGCCTTCCATTGTAGTAAATAACTATAGGAACCATGTTTGGACTTGAACTCATCTTTCACACGAAAATTAGGTCTAGGTTTTGGGTTCAGAGCTTGGTTCAGATTTTTGAGTACAAAATGGGAGTGTGGATGTGTAATCTCAATGTCCTACAAAGATTAACGTTGAGAAATTGATGACATGAAATATATTTTTGCTGTTTCGGTCGAGAGAGCTCAAGGGACAGAGATTTGGGGGGCAAAAAACCTAAATCTCGCAACAATGGCCGAAACCCATTCATATTGGGGTTTCTGGACGACATTTACCCGGGTACACCCCTCCATACCCGAGTAAATAATGCAAGCAAATTCTCAGATTCGAAGAACACTACCCGGGTATACCCCTACCTACTCGGGTAGGCAAAAAATTTCAAAAAATACCCAGGTAGTGAGGGGTGTACTCGGGTAGAGTTGGTGGTCAACGGTCAAACATGGGCAGATTGGTGTTGAGTTTTTTGAGGAGGTTAAATTTTTGAAATAGTTTATAATCAAGGTCAAATTGATAATTAATTATTAATAAAGGATTATAAGGCTAAAAAACCTGTCAAATGATGAGAGTAATCGAAGGATACTGGCGACAGTGGTGATTGAAAAATACTAGTGACGAATGCTAGTAATAACGATGATTAGCGGATGCTGACCATAACGAGTAATCAGAGAATGACGTTGACAGCATAGTGAGCACCGCAACATGGTTGTTGAAATATATCAATATCAATGGTAGATGGGGTAGGCATGTAACAAAGACAAAAAACAATAAATATAAGATATTATTCTTAGCTTATATGTTTGGAATTGTAATTCTCAGAGTTCAGGCTAAGAATTAAAGATACTATAAAATAGTTTTTCTTTCTCTAAATCATGTGTATTCTTTATATGAAACAATTTTATTCGAGATAGGAATATTCATATCATGATAAAGTTAGTTCTCTCAAAAAAGAAATCTCAAAAATAATTATTTTTAAATTCTATAGAACTGAAGTGAGAATTAGAATTTCAATTCAAATGTAAATCTTAAAGATGTTAATTATTGAAATGTCTATTTTCAATTCCAAAACTCATTTTGAAGCTTAACTCAATGCACCAACCGACACTTAATTGTATTTGGTAGCCTATCCCGTGTTAGGGTGGATATCTATGTAGCTATTTTGGTGCCACGAGTTGTATTGTTGTATTTGCAGTTCCTTGTTATTATTTCATTTGGTGAATAAAACTCCAACCATAAAAATACGGGGATTATTTCTTTGCGAAATGTTTTTGTTATGTAACATAACATAAAAACAAATTTCCTACTCTCACAAAAAAAAGAGAGAGGAGAGAGAATAAGAAAAAAAGAAAAAATTTAAAATGGGTCCCATATAAAATTTGTGTGTGTAGGAAAATAGTTTTATGTTATGTAACATAATAAAAATAAACCCCTATTTCTTTTATATAATAGGAGATAAGCTTTTTTATATTGAGAGACAAATAAAATAAAGTCTATCAATTTTTTTTTATAAAAAAGGTAAAAAAGATAGGTATGTTTTTTCTATTGGAGTGTGACGCAAGAGAATAATCTCATATAATATAAAAATATGATTTCCTTAAAAGAGATTAATTTTCTCATTTTTATATGACAAATTTTTTTCTTTCTACACACATAATTTCACAATTTTTTTTGTCTACGTATTTTTGTGTGGATCCCACTTATTTATTAGGTCAGAAATCATAATTTAAAAATATATATATGCCTTAATCAAACTTTACATTGTAAATTATTTTATTTTCTTGAAAAACTTAAAATTATTATGAAAGAATTAAGAAAGGACGGAATAATTTAATTTTTAAAATTAAAATTGTTATAAAACTATGTCCATGTGATTTCTTAGTTTGATAATGCTTTAAAAAGTATAGGACGTGCCAACTAGTTGACAGCAAAGTCAAATGAAAGGACCTTAGAACAAGAGAACATCCAAGTTGTTTCAAAAGAATAAGGGTTATGTTTATCTCATTTTACATGAGATAAACATCTCTCCTACCCACACAAAAAGGGTTGGGTCTCACCACTTTTTTTTTCTCTCTCCTCTTACATGTGGGTCCCACTTATACTTTTATTTCTACAACATAAGGTAATTCTTTTCCTACAACATAAGAAAAATATATCCCAAAGAATAAATAGAAAATATAGTGACCACTCAAACTAAGCTTAGTTATTGTTGAGGCCTCCATGGCCACACACACACATAGCAAGGTGACCCCATTACACCGTGTTGTTTTTATCACCCTTGTTGATTTTGATACGAAAAAGATCTACATCCTTATCTTCAGCATTGAAACCTCATCCATTCACACCCTTCTTGTTTCAATGTTATGTTTTTCCCACTCTAGAACATTTCATAATATATATATATATCTTTCTACTCCATCAGTCGCCATTTTTGGCTTAACAACTGGTGTCTCTTGAAGGGCTCTTCTGAAGATTTCCCATTTCCATTACTCTTTAAGATTGTCAGCATATCATTGTCACTCCCTGCTAGTTCAAAGGAAGAAAAGCTCAAAGGAAGAGAAGAATATGAAAATTCAGTGTGATGTGTGTGAGAAAGCTCCAGCAACTGTGATTTGTTGTGCGGACGAGGCTGCTTTGTGTGCCAAATGTGACGTTGAAGTTCATGCTGCAAACAAGCTTGCAAGTAAGCACCAGAGGCTTCTTCTTCAATGTCTATCAAACAAGCTTCCCAGATGTGATATATGTCAAGTAAGCACCTCAATTTTCTGCGTGTATCTTACCATGTGATAGTATCATCTTTCAGTAACTTGTGGTTGGATTGCTTTTGATTATGCCAATTTTTCCTTGTTATAGATATTGGTACATGTATTGACATGGTAAACTACTAGATCATTCAAGTTTTATTGTTTTAATCTAGTCTACTGTTAGAAATAATATAAACCATTAAAAATACCATCACCCAATATCTTAAGGTATTGGGTTGAAGTGGTTGTTTACACGGTATCAACGGTATCAAAGCCTCGTGTCCCAGGTTCGATCCTCGCCGGCCCCCACTTTCTTTCAAGTGGAATTTCTTTGTTCGCACTAGGTAGGCCTGTGCATTGTCCACCCTTCAAGCCCAATGGACTATCGTGTGAGGGGGCGTGTTGAGATATATAAAACCATTAATATAGCCTCACCCAAGCTTTATACCCTCACCCAATACCTTAAGGTTTTGGGTTGAAGTGGTTCTTTACATCTACAATTTAACTATGAAATGTAGAGAGATGAAAAATGGGACCCCCAGTTTTGAGCTTGTTACTTATAGATGTGTTAGGGACACCATACCATTTTACTAAAACTTTATGGTCATTGCTGATTGCTATGTTATTGGTAGCACCACCAATGAAATGAGTCCTTTTTTTTCTTTCAGTTGAATCTACTTAAGTAATAAATGTAGAATTTTTATTTTGTTTTCTAAAAAACATATTAATAGGTAAGGTAGACTTTCCGCCAGACTGGGGTGCTGAGACCTGGATTAGGATATTTCAAGTAGTGATGTTCGATGCTGATGAATTGTAGTTAATATGGGATATGTGAACTAGCCGTGTTTATTGAGGAAAATCACTGTGCACCAACAATAAGGAAGGGATGTGTGTATCCACAGTGATAACTAGAGAGACTAGGGTTTTAAGAGAACATACCTGTGAGTTTTAACCCTTTTTTTATAAAGGGGTTTACCTGAAGATGGATAAGGTTCATTCTCTAAGGCTGATGGGCCCATTACATGGGTCCTGAACAAGTGTATGAGTTAATACCTTAGCTGAACATGGATTTTTTTGTCTGATGAATATTTTATGAACTTTCCAACAATTATTTCTTATATTGTTCTTTTCTTTCTCCAACATGTAACAACAGGATAAGGCAGCTTTCATATTTTGTGTTGAAGACAGAGCACTCTTCTGTCAGAATTGTGATGAACCAATTCATTCACCTGGCAGCATTTCCGCGAACCACCAGCGCTTCCTTGCTACTGGTATCCGAGTGGCCTTGAGTTCTAATTGCGCCAAGGACAATGAAAAAAGTCACTTGGAGCCACCAAAGAGGAATGCACAAGAAGTTTCTGTTGAAACTCCTTCTCAGCAAGTGCCAAGCTTCACGTCCTCTTGGGCTGTTGATGACTTATTGGAATTGACAGGCTTTGAATCACCTGACAAAGTAAGACACAACTTCATTTCATAATTGGAGTTCCATATTCGTGATAAACTAACTCAACTACGCAATTAGAGTGTTTTAGCTGAAAGAAAATATTTTTTAGCACATGCACACACATAATCAAGCATTCAATTTTACATGAAAGAACCATCAACGTAGAGGCTAGTTATGTTTATAGAATACTTAGCAGCAGTAGGTTAACAAATATCTTTGTATTAAACTCCGGGACTTGATTATGGTTTATTTGATTTTTTGATAATTTGAAATATACTTTGAATTATATGTGCACATTATTCTTTTGAGGGACTATGATACTGAAATTTTAATCCCAGCCATATTAATAGTTAACTAATTACTTAATTATGACGTGCCTCCTGCGCCTTATAATATTTATAACTCCGTTTTATTTTAACTGTGTTCAGAAGGAATCCCTGCAATTTGGAGAGCTGGAATGGATGGCAGATGTGGGTCTTTTTGGTGAACAATTTACTCAGGAAGCCTTGGCTGCAGCTGAAGTCCCTCAGCTTCCAGTAACTCATCCTAGCAGCAATGTTGCCTCCTATAGAACCTCCAAGTCCTACATGTCTCACAAAAAGCCTAGGATTGAAGAAGTTGAAGATGAGGATGATGAGTATTTCACTGTGCCTGATCTTGGTTGAAGCACATGGCTATACAGGCTGCTGCATGAAAACTGTATGTTATTGGGTTGTATATTCATACTTCTCTAAGTACCATAATCTAAGAATTGAATTTTGTTCACAAGTTGTGTGAAAGTTGGTGAGTATCATACCTCAGGTGTTTCATTGCTAGATAGCATAGAATCTATACCTTTGGGGATTAAATTTTCCTTGTTATTTGTGGTCAATGTTTACACTTCAAACACTAGGGGTGCTCACTCCACGAACTTGAGACGGTTAATTTCATTTTGTTTGTATGCATCCCTAGTCTCTTGAAGAGCTTTTGTCCTACTTGACCTATATTTGGAAAGAGGACTGGACTACTATAATACAATAGTGAATCGTTATAGGTTCTAACCTTTGGACCATCGGCTCCAAACCCTTGCCCTTCAAATTGCTGTGTATGTGAATGATTGTAGCCATGCAAGGTATAGGAACTTTATACAGATTATAGTGTATATTTCAGCAAACAAGATCATTCGATTTTCTCTAATGCGGATTTCTGATCGACTCCTATCAAGGATAGATTATATTTACAAATTTTTTGTTTACTAATTTTATAAATTGTACTATGTATTCCGGGAGGAGTATATTTTCAATTGAGTGTATTTTCCAGAATACATAGTATAGTTTCTAAAAGTATGTAAACAAAATATTTGTAAACATAATCCTCTACCTCCTATTATTATTAAAATAACAAAAGAGATATGGAGTAACTGAAAATTTTATATGCTTGAGAATAAGATGATATTTATCTCTCATAACTGTGAAATAATCACAACATATTATAAGCAAAATCTTCAAATCCTAGCTTAAAAAACGTGATTTTTCAAGTGTATCCTAAGTAATCACTGATTATGATCAATTTCTTTTTTTCTTTTTGGTAGATAGATTATGATCAATTTCAACCATAATACTAGAAATATAGTAATTTAACATAAACAACTCTTTTTAAAAACTATTGTCACAAAAGGGAAAACATTCATTACCAAACATCCTCTAAATGAAGGAAGTTACAAGATTGTTTTACCAAAGTTTAGCAGGTTCTGCTGCTTAATCTTTATGATTTGTATCTAGGTAGCCCAAGTTCTTGGTGTGGCCCGAGATTTCAGTTATTTAGAAAATAATTCCTCCCTATTGGCCATGCCTGAATTCTTGGCTATCCAACCAGTCACGTATACCATGAGAATCTTATAAAAAAGGATTTGGAAATTCATACCAACAAACCACCTCTGAAATTAGTCCAATTTTCTCTGTGGTGATGGCCAAAAGAATGCCTACTAAATTCTTCTTTCCTTCCATCTTAGCCATAATTCTATGTCTTATGCCATCAAAAATCCACTCATCAACCCTTCAAAATGATACTCTAGCCCTTATTGAAATAAAACGTGCCATTGATCCCAACTCAGTGTCCCCAGCTTCCTATCTGAATACATGGGACTTCACAGTGGACCCATGTGAAAGCACTGGCTCAACATTTCTTGGAATATTGTGCAATATGCCTCTAGATAACTCCCCTAGTAGAGTAACAGCAATTGATCTTGATGCCATTGGTTATGAAGGATTTTTAACCCCAGCTATTGGGAACCTCACAGAGCTGACAGTACTCAACCTTGACAACAACAAATTTCGAGGGCCAATACCAGAAACCATTACCAAACTAAGAAAACTAACCAGACTTACTATGTCAGAAAACTTCTTCACTGGGGCCATTCCCAAAGGAATCAGTGAACTCAAGAATCTTCAATATCTAGACGTTTCTAGGAACAGACTTTCAGGCTTAATCCCTCCAAATATTACTAGCTTGAGAAGCTTAAACTACTTGAGCTTGTCAAACAATGGTTTTGCAGGCAGAATCCCTGACCTCATAGGGCTGTGGCAACTCAACACATTAGACCTTAGCATGAACCAATTCTATGGGGGCATTCCAAATCTTCCAGTGAGTTTAAGAAAGATGTATTTCAGCCATAACATACTTTCAGGGCACCTTACATCTCTTAAGGGTCTCATACACCTCAAATGGCTTGATGTCAGTGACAATAGGCTTTCAGGTGCCATTAGCAGGGATATACTTTCCATGCGTGAGGTTGTTCACCTCAATGTTTCTTTCAACCGCTTTTCAACATTAGAGGCCATCAATTATGCTGCTGGGCATGGACCAAAGCTTCAAGTGCTTGAAGCTCAAGATAACCATTTGAGTGGTCATTTGCCAGTGAATTTGGTGACCTTAATGAACTTAACTGCAATTAATTTATCAAACAACCAATTCTCTGGTATCATTCCAAAGGAATATGGAACAAAACTGCAGACATCATGGAGAAGATTGTATTTAGATCACAACTTTCTCAGAGGAAATCTTCCTTCAGAGTTTGCTCACACAACAGGAAACATTAAAGGTAGCCTTGCAAACAACTGCCTCAGGTGTCCAACACATGTTCTTCTTTGCCATGGAGGACAAAGACCCGCTGCAGAATGTGTCGGGAACCGTAATGCATGACATTGTCAAATATGTATTTTTCCTTTATGCCAAAAATGATATATCTAAAAGACTAAAAACCAATCAACAATAAGTATGAATGGAGTTTTCCAAATTATGAACTGCAAGAGCTCCACATGTATTTGCAAACTTGACTAATGAGTACTTCCCTTAACCTTAAGGTTCATCCTTCAATCAATAAAATGGTCAAATTAACGATTTTTTTTTTTTTTCAACTTGAATCAACAAATTTATCTTTTACGTACCTTGGCCAATATAAATTAGGATGAAATGTATGAATCACAAAAATAAGAACATATGAGAAAGCTTACGAAATAATGTTTCAAAATTATTAAGGACACTTAAATACCTAGAAGAATCAAGTACACTGGTGTAATAAAAAGACTTATATCTAATATTAGCTGTTGATTTTACTTCCATCCAACACTCAATGTTCAAATGACTAATAAATTAGAACACTTAAATGTAAGATAATATTTAATAATTAAGTTGGAGAGCTTTTTGGGTATTACCGTAATCCCTATATCTATTCTAAAAATATAGATAAAAGTCTGGATTTAAATGGAGGAAAAAAATTTCTATTTAAAAAAAAGGAGTACCGAGTTTAATACTCCTACTGTATTGGGAAAAAAAATCCGTGTAAGTTGATATTTCTCTTTCCAATATTTTTTATACAACTATAAATGCATTCTACATATTAATTTTTGGAATAAACATTACATGCAAGCTACTTTACAGAGTTAAATAGAATGGTATCTCGATATGACATCTTTAAAATTGGACGACATCATGAATACAAACTAACTAGTACACAAACAGAACGTATCATGGGCCTGGGCTGGGTCAATAAGAAGCGCGCATTAGACAATGGGCCATGGCACTTCGATCGTGGTTGGGCTGGCCCGAACATCTGACACTGACACAGTCAGTGACTGAAGCAGAGGATGCTCCACCCAACTTCTGAACCTGGAAAGAAGAAAGAACGATATTAATCAGAATCGTGATTAAGAAGAGGATTTGGAAAATGGAAGCTTCAGAATTGGATGAATCTATGAAGGTGTTGGATTCGTGTTTAGCACTTATCAATTGGCGCCTCAAACCTTCTACCAAGCGTAGATTACAATTAGGTCTCAATTTCTTTTTCTTTTTCTTTTTCTTTTTTACTTTTTTCTGTTAAATTTTCCCTTTTTTCATTCATTTTTGTGGTAGCAGATATTCTGGCACTCTCTACAAGAATGAGACCAGTTGTAATGGTAGATTATGGTGGAAAGATGCCTGAACTTCAACACCATCTCTCTTCACTCCTCCAACTTACACAAAAGGTCTTTTTCTTTTTCTTTTTCTATTTTGTTTTTGTTTTTGTTTTGTTTTGTTTTGTAATTTCCCATTTACACTTTTTTCAGGATTCCCCATTTTTTGAGCATCTAAGATTGATGGTTATACAAGACATGATATACTTGATACATGTAACTGAACTAGCTCAACATGTTAGATCAAGCTTCAACTCTGAAAAACCACAGTTGCTCTTTGTGGACCTTGAACACGAACCCCCTAAGGTTCTTGTAATCTTTTTATTAATATTATTATTTACTTTTTTCAATTTCATACATCGTCCTTATGTATGTTTTGTTAAATTGTGTTCAGATGATAACACAGATTGAGAAAAGCCAATTGGCAATGCAGTTCATATCAATTCAGAAGTTGTTTTTGACATCATTTTGTCCTGAGGGAATCACCAATCCCGCACCATCCCAGGAGGCAAAATGTATGGATAATAATGCTAACTCCACTGCTCACTGTTTTAACGCTCATTCCACCGAGTACATTGATCTCAGTAACTGCATGGACAACACTGACGTGACAGTGCCAACCTTGAATGGGTAATTCCCATTATATACATTAATTGAATATGGTTTTCATGCTAATATGTCTCTGGAAATTTAGCATTCACATAACTACTGTCTATAATTTCACTCTGATATAATTGCAAATTCGTTGGAAAGAAAGAGTTGATTAGCTTTGTTCCCATTTGGCACAAAAGACTGTCTGATATTTAAATTCTTTGTTACGCACAACTGCACCAATAATCCATTTGCTGTGTCTTTTAAATCAGGATTTCCATTTAGCTTGCAGATATCATGGGATATTAGCAAGGAATGTTACACAGATTGCATGTAGTAGTATGTTACAGATTAAATTTTTTTTCTACTGGATTGGTAGTTCATTTGTGCCTAATTCTTAGCCCTTTGGGGACTTACGAGATTTTAATCCTCAGTTTGTACCATGTCCTACCTGATTCTTTCCAGGAGTGAGATGGTTTGGATTAAATGGCTGGCTGCACTTTTATATTTACCCTTAAAGGTCACTGAAGTGTAGCAAGTTAATACTGTCACATGTTGTGGTATGTCATGGTCTAATCTCAAAATACACGTGTTAAAACTAGTTTGTACGAAGGCATTTGCAGTAGTGCGAAATACCAAATCTATTTGGGGGATCACTATCAATTTGTTCCACCTGAATGGTGGTTCCATAGAGCATAGCTATTTGCTTCTTATTCCTTATTAAACATGTAACAATATGTGGTGGGACTACCTCATTTTAGTGTATTTATTTGCTTCAGATGGCTTCTAGGCTATCCAGTGGTGTATCTGTTTGGCAAGGAGCGTATTGCTGATGCCATTTATAATCTTTCAACCAAATATCTTCATATTTTTCAAGTGTCTATCTGCAGGTTTGTTTTCATAGGATTTTGTTCATGGTTTATATAACGAAACACCCATTATCTGTCTGATGTACAAATTGTGTTAAATTCTCCAAAATGTAATTTGTTCCAAAAAATTTGTTCGCAAAAGCTGAAAATAAGAAAAAGAATAACCAAGGCCAAGAAAGAGAGAAGGGCGGGAAGATAACAAGGATAACGTGATATCTGCTTTTAGATGGTTTATGTCAAGGTGTAATGTGTGCTTGGCAACTATTCAACCTAATTTGGGAATCGGGATTGATATCATTGACTTGCCAACTATATTGGATTCTCTAAAGATGACAATCTTTCTTTCTTTCTTTTTTTGTCTAGAAAAACACTTTCTCACAAATTGAGTACATTAAAATTTGAACTCTTGCAGGAATAGTACTCTCAAGAAAGGAACTCAAGCTGAAGAACTTTTAAGGTAAATACTGCATATGGATTTGTGAAAACTATTTAGTCTATCACAATCTTTGGCAATTGAGCCACTGGTGTGGCTCAATTGACCAATCGAGCTCTATATGGGTGGACTTCAGTTTTAATGTAGGGTTTTGAAACCTGGTGGAAGATCCTTGCTGCCTGGTCGAAGTTCACACCTGAGCAGGGATTAGTCCTAACTAAATCCATAAGTTCACACCTCATGGTCTTACCAAAAGAAGAGAGAAAAAAAGAGGAGGGGGGGGGACTCTGGTAATTGTGTAAGACCGCTCTAATCTACTTTAAATTGATGGACATTTTGGTATGCACAAAATACTTAGCCTTAAGATGGTTAAGCTTATATGCAATAAGTGAGAAAGAGAGAAATTCTAACGAGCATTAACAACATTGGCTGAGAGGTAAAATAAAGACGCGGAGGCGCATCATAAGTAGCCATTCACAACATGGCTATACTATTGGCCTGACTAGTGAATTTGAGAATTAATGTGCACAATTAGGTCATACCTTGAACTGATAATTGTCATGCATGTTCCCAGTTTCAAGCAAAGAGCTTGTCATATAATAAGCACCCATCAATATTTTTCACTCCGTTCGTGTTTAGGTATGCATCTGCCGGACCATTGGCTCTGTTTGGTTGATGTTAAACCACCACTCAACGGCACATTTAGAAGCGTATAGCTCCTTTACAGCCATAAATTATCATCACCATCTTCATAGTTAATATAATGTTTACAAGATAGTGTAAAAAAGTATAACGATAATGGATGAAAGTTAAACTAACGAATATTTTTAAGTCAATCGGCAGATTGCTGACATTCTTAGCATGTTTGATCAGTTTTTCAGTGCCTTATGATCTAAGTATGAGAGGGAGTGATGAACAATGGGCAGAGGCTTTTCTGGCTCACATGCGGGCAAAGTGGGAAAGATGTGCAAATGCTTGGAAGTCGTTAAAGATGGAGGTTACTGAATGTCATCCCCAAGCTATCGTGCTATAGTTGTCTCCTCATCTAGGCTCTACCTTTGCAGTGTAGAATTTGAATCCTCAAACTATAAGAAGGTAATTTAGAGAATAGAATAATGTACTTAAATTGAATAAACGGCAACACCTATCAGAAAATAATATGTTGAAGGATATATCATACTACGTTGCAACTTGCTACATGGACCATTGTAAAGGTTAACGGGTAGCAATTGTATGGAGGTTTGAAAAAAAAAAAAAAGGGAAAAGTGTGTATCATTTCAAAAGATGTAAAGTTGTGTCATTTTAAGTGAAAAAAAGAGATAGATAAAGGAGGAGAAAGAGTGGACAAAAAAATATAAAGGTGTGGGTTTCACTTCTTTGTGAAAGTGAAATGATACAAGTTGTATCATTTAAAAAGATAAACATTTTTTTCAAAAATTAATTGTGTTTGATATGTCATCGGAGAAGACGCATTGATTAATTATATTAAGCAATTTGATAAATACCCAAGTCTGTAAGAAATAAATCGATCTCAACGATGATTAATTGACACCAATAATACTTAGCACACTTCGAACTACTAACTTATATCACACTTAAAACTGGAAAGCGTTTCATGTTATTGAATCATGTGATCTGCTTCCAGGAAAACCCAATCATAATACTTGAATGAATAAATTCTCCATATCATTCCTAACCCTCAGACTTATGACAACTTAAACTGAAGAGTTGGCCAAGCTTATTCTTAGTAAACTTCAAAGAAAAGAAGGAAGGAATAGCTGGAAAACTAGAGAGCATAACTAACTGAAGAAGATAAGCTAGCTAATTAAAAATATGCATGTGCGCAAATAGCTGGAATGATACTTGTGTAATATCCCCCTCCAAGTTGGGATTTCATCCCCAACATGAATAAGAGTGAAATAAATTGAATAGGATGCAAAGCCTTATAAGACCACAATTGCAAGCAAGTTGGCACCTACATGATGGGATTGGTTCAAGATTGTCCATCTCATCCCATAAGCTTTTAAGTTGAATTAAACAAGAAACGAAGAAAGGCGGAACAATTACAGAGCATAACTAAGTAAGTAACTGAAGAAGATAAGCTGGCTAACTAAAAAAGAAACTCGAATAATACTTGTGTAATTTATGAATCCAAATTTCATTCAACAACTAATCTCAGAACTTGAAAAAAAAAACATTATTTGGCAAAACCTGAAAGCACATTATCCTTCGGTCAATGCAGAAAACGGGTGAAAAAAAGAAAAGAAACAAAGAAAACCAAGAGACAATTCCCTCCAAAATTAATAGCCAGCAACTCCACGGAAATCATGCTAGTAATCTCATAAAAAGATTCTATGCCCCCTTGATCAGTTTCAGCACATCAGCCTCTTTGGGAAGGGCGGGGATTGCTCCCTTTTTAGTAGTTGTAATTGCTCCGCATGCATTTGCAAACTTGAGTACTTCTCTCAACCTTGGTTCATCCTGCAATCAGTGAGTGGAAATAAATCAATCATCAATTATAAATTTTATAAGGATATTTATAATTAACAATTTTAATTTTAGCCAAGACATTTAGATAAGACTAGAAAAAATCACAAACAAATGTTTATTAAGGGGCATAGTAGATAAGCACTCACTTCAAGTATGGATTGATCATCAACAATCTTGGACAATAGAGCACCAACAAAGGAATCACCGGCGCCAGTTGTATCAACAGCATTGACATGGTAAGCGTCTACTGATCCATGGAAATTCTGGTTGATTCAAAAATGGAGAAAAATTCGTTAATGTTTCAAAACAAAGATATGCAACAGAGGGCACAATTATTACTAATTGAGACCGAGTAATATGTCCATTTACATACGTTGCGGAACATATTCTTTTCAAATTCAAGGTAAAAGTATAATACACAATAACACCAAACAATTTTAAAAAAAAAAAATGTACATGTAGAAAGGAGAATTTTTAGTACGTGGGTCACCGCACACTGATTACTATAGCCTATAGGTTTATGCAGATGACCAATGATAAATGTTGGAAGATTAGAGGATAGTAAAGAGAGATATGATAAGACAACAAATAAAGATGTGATATCTTATCCTAAATCCAATTTAGTAAGAATTGAGAAAGAAAAGAATTATCCTTATCATAACTCAGAATTATATTTGTTATTAAACTCTCTGCATTAAATTCTATTTAAAGATAAATGGAACCCCTCTTAAAGTATAAAAAAAAGGGGGAGTTTTTTAGTGAGGATCATTGTGCACTGTGAGTGTTTTTTATTTTTCCAGTTTATTAACAACAAATCATATATGCTACAAGAACAGAAAAGCTAACTCCACCACTAGGTGTAATAAATACTACTTTTGTTAAAATAACACTATCCTCTCCATCACGGAATATTCAAAGTTTTAATTTTACAAGGCCACAAGGGTGAGCTGGAAGTTCCACAACTACCCTGAATCCAATTCACTGAATATAGACGTAACGTAACAGGTGAGTGTAAAGCTCAAAGCAGTTTTATTTCATAAGAAAAAGAAAAAAAGAAAAGTAAGGTAAGAAACAGAACAACACATGGTGGCCCTGTCTCATAAACAAATAAATCTTTGGTACTACTACTGTACCTAGATTCAGTGCATCCCATCAATGAGAACATTACTAATCACAGGAGAGAGAAAATATTTGACCGAAAAAAAAGAATTTTAATTGACATGTAATATTCTTATTGGTGGGATGCACTGAATCTTTGGTACAGCAGTATTACCAAAGATTTATTTTTCAGAAACAATGTTCTGAAAAGCACCTAGTTGGCAAGCATTCAGAGCGACCACAACTCATTATAGCTAACTAACCAGAACATCTATGATTACCCTGAGTGCACTACAGCAGACAAAAGAGAAAGTTTGAATAGACAATAGAAAAGTTAAAAAATAAAAAAGGAATATGTAATTGTCAAGTGTAGGATTTTTTTTACCTTGGTGTAGTATCTGGAACCATGTTCACCAAGAGTGACAAGGAGTAACTTCAAATTGGGGTGCCACAATGACATAGCAGAAGCATCATCAATTTTGTCACTTCCTGTGAGGAACTCAAGCTCAACATCACTGACCTTGATCAAATCAGCCTTTTCCCATATGCTCATTATTTGCAGACGGGCTTCCTCCGCCGAGGGCCACAGTGGTAGACGGAGGTTTGGATCATAGGAAAGCAAGCAACCAGCCTCTTTGGCAACTTCCATTGCCTTTAGATGTGCCGATCTGCATGGCTCCACGATCAAGCTTATCGAACCAAAATGGAATACCTTTGCCTGAAGAGTCAAGTTTTCTGTTAGTCACCTAACTCATTTTTGGAAAAAAAAAATGTTAAATCACCAAATCCAATCTAAAGACTCATTTTAGTTTAATTTTTGGACATGCGTGCATAATTGATTTCATTGTACAACGCATGAAAAAGGCCACCAAATAATCCACTTATTTTTTTAATCATTAAACATGTGAGTGCTTGCTACTTTGCTAGGCTGTAAATTATGGACCTGCTATCCTACATTGACCAGATAAAAAAAGCAAGAAAAGATTTAAAAAAAAAATAATTATAATAATAAGAAAGAGGCTAGTTTTTTTTAAAAAGGTATAGTGTTCTTTTAAGTTCTCTCGCGGTTATACAAAAAAACTAACTCCAAATAAAATAAGGAATTTGCATCTATTATGTCACATGACACTAAAAAATTTCCTACACACACAATATTTTGTGGGACCCGTATTTTTCTAAGCAAAAAAAAAAAAATAAGACACGCAAAACGAATCTATATGACATTACACAATCACTTTTCCTACAACATAACTCTTATAAAACCTATAAAATAATTTAAACATTGGGTTTGCATTCATCAGGCAAGATGCAAGACAAAAAATTTTCCTACAGACATAATATTTTGTGGGGTCTACACTTTTTGAAGCAAAAAAAAAATAAAAAAAAATTAAGACACACAAAACGAATCTCTATAATATTACACAATTAATTTTCGTACTTATAAAACCCTTTAACAATACAGTAAATTACATTAAACTATTGGAAACAAGCTGTAAAGTATATGTATTCATATTATTAATTAGTTATATTAAATTAAACAACTTGTAAAGAGAGAGAGAGAGAGAATAAAAGCTACAATCAAACAAGACAGCATGACACATACCACGGGTATTAAAAGAAAAAACAAGTAGCATTACTTAAAAAGAGGAAAAAAGGGATGAGTATAAGTCAAAGCAGATGACAACAGGAAACCTATAATTGTTCCCCCGAATCTCGTCCTAGCGCGTGGACAACCATGAACGGCGAAGAAAAAGCTTGTCAAAAAAAAAATGAACATTATATAAAATTGAAAATGGAAGACTATTGATGTATGCTATTGTTGTTGGATTAAAAGGAAACAACAACAACAACAACAAAAGAGAAATTGGATAGAGTGGATTTATTATCCAACTCCAATAATTGCTACACGTAGACATAGCTATCAAGGAAGCACGTCTCGTGCGAATACACCAACCTCACCCACTCACTTTTAATTCATTATCGGTGTTGTTGCTAGCCAACCCACTTTCGGACAACAAAATCATGAATTTTGAGAATTTTAATAATATCATATTATAGTCTATAGTTCTACTTTTACGTTACCAGGTTGGCGTATCCTAGATCTAGGAAACGGGGACCCACTACAGTCAAGCTGACGCGGCAATATATATTTTCCCTTACGACACACGTTTTCCTTTACGCGCGTGACATCACGTGCACCTCCCACAGGCTACACATCTCAATCTCATGGAACATGAAACATTATCAAACACTTGATTTTTCAGGAAAATGGAACAACGAAGAAAAAGTCAGAAACTTTCATGAGAAAAGTTGAAGAGAGAGAGAGAGAGGGAGATTAGATGCATACAGATCTGATGAGTTCGAGGTTGAGCTCTTCGGGCTTGAGGAGCATGTCAGCGCTTGGGTTTCTGTAGAACATGAACTCACGCTCTCCGTCGGCGCGTAGGGTCACGAAGGCCAAAGCAGTGCGTGCGCCTTCGTCGAATGTAATGCCGTCGGCGCGGACACCGTTCTCCTTCAAGATCCCGGCCAACATGTGACCGAACTCGTCGTCGCCGAGCTTTCCGACAAAGGCGGCTTTGCCGCCGAGCCTGGCTACGGCGATGGCCATGTTGGCGGGGGCACCGCCGGGGGCTTTGATGAAACCTGGTGCCTCCGCCAGGGACACGCCGGAGACGGTGGGGACGAAGTCGATTAGCATCTCGCCGAAGCTGACGATGAGGCCGTTGCCGGTGCTGGGGATGCCATTGTTCGACGCCATGGACCTTCTGAATAGATATTAGAGAAGAAAAAAAAAAGAGTATTTTGATTTTCGAAGACTGTTAGGAGAAGCAAAAAGTGAGAGAGAGGAAACGAGCCATGCTTTGGGGGAGTTTATATAGGAGTAGTGGAGAGAGAGAGAGAGAGATTCATTTTTTTTTCCTTTTTTTATTGGATAATTAAGGGATTCATTCATTAATCAATTTAATTTAATTTATAATATTCTTTTCTTTTTTTTTGGTTGAATATAAGGACCTGATTGTGTTTTGGTTTTGTTTGTTTTTAAAACTGTTTTGTAGAATAGTTATAGAAACAGTTATTTTTTGTATTTTTTTTGTTTTGAAAATTAAAAATCAAAACAGAAAACAAAAACAACTGAGTCATGTTCTCTAAATTTGATTCTAAAAACAAAAAAACAGTTATAGTTTTTAAATTATTTTTTTTAAACAGACTTTACCAAACGAATTTTTTTGTTTTTTTTTTCTCAAAACTAAAAAATAATTTTTAAAAACACTAATCAATCAGAGCCTAATATTCTTGCCTTAATTTGTTGAAATTTCGCTGATTAGTCATTGGTTTTGGTTGGGACATTGATGTTGGATTTTGACACTATTTTCAGTTTTAAATTCAAACTTATATTTTTATACTTTTTCGCTGTGGGTCATTGATTCCATTTGAATTTATATTCAAATATGAAATATTAGCCCACTTGCAAATATGGTATATATATATATATATATATATATATAATATTTCTCCAGCAACTTGAGATAAATTTATCTCCAGTCACCCTTAAAATTACGTCGTTTTGTTTATTTATTTTCTTATATTAATTGATTCACCTTTGAATCATTATGATTTTTTTTCTCTCTTCCTTCATTACCATTGATACATTTTTGTACGGTTATGATTTATTAGCCGAAGATAAAATTATCTCCGGCAGCTTGAGAAATGATAAGATATATATATATATATATATATATATATATATATATATATATTGTTTATCGTTTCTCAAGTTATTTGATATTATTTTATCTCCGGCCAATAAATCATAATTGTTCAAAGATGAATCAATCGTAATAAAGGAAGAGAGAGAAAAAGAAAATTATAATCATTCAAAGGTGAATCAATTAAAATCAGAAAATAAATAAACAAAATGTCATAATTTTACCGATACCGACACGGGACACGTGACACGATACGACACGACACTCCGACACATTAATTTTAAAAAATATTAGATTTCGACACGTTAGGACACGTTTTGATATTAAATAATATTTTTAATTTGTGTAGTATATATTGTATTTAATATTCAATAATTTAACAAAAAAATGAAACTAAACTTATAATATTCATCAATTTTATAAAGAAACATAAGATATCCTAAATATTTATATTAAACTCAATAAAATGGTAATCGTAATCCACCAAATCTAATAGTTGGAACTAAAAACTCAACGCGGTGCAACCTTCGAACCTTCTTTAGAATTTTTATAACCTGTGTTGGAGTGTCGAGGAGTGTCGGAAAGTGTCGCACACGACACGTCAGAGTTTTTGAAGTGTCGGTGCTTCATAAATGACCGGAGATAAATATATTTCAAGAAAATATTTTTCTCATATATATATTATAACGTGTGATTGCTGCCCCAGAACTGCTAATTAGGTTTTTTTTTTAGGTAAAGCTTTTTTAATTTTTTAAATAATACCATAGTTGTCTAATTTTTAATTTGACTTTACTTATTTAAAAGATTTGAGATTGCAAATCTTGAAATTGTTTATCCACTCTTGTATATTAAATTTTAATACAGTTTAATATAATTTAATTTCTAATTATATTATTCGTTAATTGATAATATATGTTATTTTTAATTTTAAATTTTATGTTATCTTTTAATTTTGTTATGATACCTTTTTTTCTTTTCAATTTTGAATATATTCCCTCCTTTAGATATGATATGGGCCCATATGAGAAGCATATATTGTAGAAGATCCAAAAAATAGCAATAGAAAGAGGAAATTAAAAAAAATCCTTGATTGACATTAATCCTAATACGATAGTTATAGACCTAGCATAGGGCTCCAAGAAAAGTCTACCCACAAGTAAATTCTACAAATAATAGGTAAAGTTTATATATATAACACTTACTCTATCGCATTACTTGCTACCACTATACATACACTACATTTTTGATTACGCCGTTATACTTATGTACAATGTTTTACTTACCTCAAAGGTATTTTTTTCATAAATACATGAAAGAGTCTTAAGGCCTGTTTGGAACACCTAATAAAGAAGATAGGATAGGATAACTTATCATATCTTACTTTTATCTCTTGTTTAGTGGGTAAATAAAATATGATTAGCTTATCCTATTGTCTCATTTTATCCTAACTTCTTATCATATGGGGGAAGCTGGGCTAAGATTCAACATGATAGAATACCAATATTTGATACCCAATATATCCTCACGTTATCCAATATGTCCCAACGCTACCCAATATATTTATATTTATTGGATTATATTTTATTTTTTCTTTCTGCTTTTTCCTTCTACATAATTTTTTCAGATTGTTAATCAGGTGCTCATCAAATACAGGATATGATATAGGCTTATTAGCCCCGTATCATATCCTACTCTTATCCTATCATATCCACTAGTTTGACACTTATACTCCTAGGATAGAACAAGATCGTATTTTTTTTCAAGTTCAAATGAAATTTCAAAAATTGATGAGACACTTAGCAATTCTGGATTATATATAAGAGATAAACAAATATTTTGGGTAAAGATAAATGGTTGTTATATACTAGAATGCATTCATATACTATATAAGTACTTTTAAAATTTGAATAAAACATAAAAAAGTATAAGTTAATAAAATATTTAATAAAAATTATTTAAAATTGAAAAAAATTATTTATTCATGTAAAATTTAAAATATATATTAAAATAAAAAATTTAAATTGTATAAGAATATACAAATTTAATCTAAAATAATTTAAATTTAAAATTTAGAAGAATATATATATATATATATATATATATATATATATATATGATAAGAATGGGTTTTTTTAATAATAATATACTTCCTAAATAATTTAAACTACCTGCGTGTTTGTGTGAATATATCAAATTTTATTATATCATCATATTTGTGTTTTATCGTAAGCATGCATGCTTTCTAGTTTGTGTCTTAATAAGAGTTTACTTGGGTAGTCCCATTATTTTATTTTATTTTATTTTTGAAAATAGTCCCATTATTTTAATTTGAATGAGAAAGCGAAACCTGCAGGCCTAGACTGTCCCCAGTCCCCATCATGAATCTGAATAATCATTTTTTCTCTTCTAATTTTGAATGGTACCTGCAACCTGCTGGGAAATTGTATTTTAATCTTCCTTGCCCGTTTGGTGCGGGGGCGCCTTCAAAAGGGCACTTAAATGGGCACCAACGAAAATAAAGTTTTACTTAAGAATTGGTAATAATTGGTTGAACTAATTAAATCATAACTTAGAAATTAATCTTGTTGGCTAGATCTATATTTTTTTAAAATCAATGATTTATTGGTGAATATTTGTATTACCAGTTTGGAAATTAATCACATTTGACGGAAATTATGTTTACCCTTTGTTGTTAGTTTTCATGGTACTTGTTATTTGAGGTAGCTAATCAAATTCAAATTTGCCTTACATGTTTAAAATCCAACGACTGATTACCAGCATGAATGGTGCTTTTTGATCTGTTCCTGATTGTCGGTGTCAATTTTTCATCATTATTTTCTAAAATAAGTGGATAGTTTTTATTTGACTTTTAGAAGTTGATTTTTGTAACTATTTTTTAAGCTTTAATTTGGCAATTGTCTAGGACCCTGGATTGGTCGAGGAGTCGTATATTTTTGGTGCAATTTTAAATTTTGACGAGATAAAAAAATTGGATGGCACACTTTTTTATTTTTTCTCTCTCTTTTTTAGTGAGTCTCGTTCATTTTTTTTGTGTTGCATGAGACAAATTGTCTCATGCAACACACAAAAAAATAGATGAGATTCACTTTTTTATTTTCTCTCTCTCTTTTTTAGTGGATCCTATTCATTTTTTTGTGTTGTACGAAACAAATTATCTCATGTAACATGAGAAAAATAAAACCCAAAAACCAAATATCATCATAGCATGTTTGTAGGTTGAACCGACCGTTTTTGTGTGGCGGTTCTAATGATACATTTATCCTTTAAATAATTAAAAATTATCACTTTGCCCCTTGTTTACAAATTATTTAAAATATTTGACATTTTTCTTAAACATAACATCAACGTATCATTGTTTGACCGTTAACCAAAAATTATACTCGAATACAGAACAATATACTCGAGTATATTATCATGCTTTAAGATGTTCATCATTTCTGGAATTATTTACCCGGGTATGAATCATCCTACTCGAGTATCAAACCTCAGATACTCGAGTATACGTGAGACAGAAACCCTTAAATGAGTGAGTTTGTGCCTTATTTGTCACTCACACGTTTACTACCCCAAAATCTCTCTCGTCTCTCATCTCTATTCCATGCTATGAAGTTTATATTCCATCTCATGGTCTTTAAAGCTTGTATCTTGTGAAATCATTGTCAATACACTTACAAATTCAATTTTTTTTTTAAAAAAAAATATGAATCCAAGCCAAACCCTAAACCAAATTTGTGTTGAAAGATGAGCTCAAGTTCAGGCACTTATTATGTAGTTATCTACCACAATGGGAGGCAAATTGAAGGTCCCAATAGTGTCTGATTTGAAGGAAAAACGAAAATAATGAAAATCAAACAAGGCACTATTTACAGTGAACTGAAGGACATAATTCATCAAAAATTGAGGTACAAGGCAGCCAATATATTCATCACATGATAGTCAAGTTAGAGACTGTAATTGATACAGATACAATATACTACATTGGTAACAATATCAATGATGATGAAGATATGGAGTTTGTCGCAGATGCAGTTGTTGACTGTAAAGTATTAAAATTTATTAAGATATATGTTGAAGTTGACGTTGGTCAGTCTTCATCTTTACCGACGAATACAAGCACTC